GAGGGGAAGACATTGTTGCAAATCAGTGACTGTTTCTGTCTTGCTCGATACTTTTCTCTTCCCATCATTCTTTTACAGGTCAACCTTGGTTTCATCTATACAAAGAATTTCTTTTATCAGAAAGATCATAGCTCTTTTAGATGTTTTCTGGCACCAGTGGTTTGCACCTTGTTGCAAATCCTCTGTTTTTACGTTTTTGCATCTCTGACAGTGATACATCTATCTATTTTAGAGCATTCATGACTTGGCAAGAAGCTGAGAAGTTGTTTTTCTTAGGCAAGGAAAGAATCCTTCAATCATCTGCTGTAATTACCTTCTGTAGCCTTTCAGGCTTATTGGTTTTGCTAAGCTGGCCTGTGTCTTCCCTTTCTCAGGCAATTTACCACATTGTTGATTTGGCTACGTTTTTGCAATCTCTCTGATGGGTTTAGTTTGCTTTTTTTTCACTCGCTTCAACATTTTTTTAGACGTTCATTGGGAGTTCTTGTGAAAAGATATGAAACTACCATGGCCATGAAACTGCTTGTCAGTCAATTGTTCAATGGCTAAACAGTCAACACGCTATTTTTGTAAATCTCCTCGAATTAAAGCTAAAAGTCTGCACTTCAATCACATCTTGATTGTTTGGTCAAAAATCCCCTGTGAAAAAGTACAAAAATTATGTCATTGTCCAAAAGTTCATACATTAAATATTTCAGACAAACAGGTCAGGATACAAGGATGATGTAAGGAAAAAGTCACATTGGATGTTGTGTTAAAAATAGGCATTAGTGCCCACCCTGTAACTGTATGGATCTTCTCTACTCCCAAGTTGAAGATGTTTGTAAAGTATGCGTGTATCATAGGAGTCAGGTTAGGCGTGGATACAAAATGCAGCTTATTTAAATGTCAGAAATCTTTTCATTTCATGTAAGCGTAGATAGAAAGGCTGGACGATCATTACTAGTAAGTTAAAATGCAAGCAGGACTTCAGAATGATTTCATCGTTGTCTGCATCTTTTTGTTATTTGAGAGCTCATATCGCTGATTGATCTTAGCGTGTATGGGGAAGATGAGACCTGTGTTTGGTGAATCTGAGCTGCCTTGCAATGCTATTTGTGTCCCTGACCTTGCAGAGTCAGTTCCTCTGTTTAGTCAAAGCTCTAAGATGGGCTACCAGCCTGCAGAGCATCTTTATTTGTTATTCCTCACATATACACCAAATACAGTAGTATCCTTTTCTTTGTGAAGAGCAGGTCCTTGCTTTAATCTCCTATCCTTTTCCTGCAGCCTATAAGTACAATAATAGTTTGGCTTTTTTTTACTGTTATACGTGATTGTGTTTTATGACTAAACACTTATTTTTCCCTCATGAGAAAAAATTGATTTTTAGTCAATGTAGCCATGAAACAAATCAGAACTGCAGATTTAGAGTGCTGTGTTGCAAAACACTGCTGGGTAGACTCCATTCCACAGATGCCTCACTCCTGTGATATGCAGAACAAGCTTTATATCCTGAAGTTAATGCCATTGAGATGGACCTGGTGATTTACTCATCCCCTACAGAAAGCACATAAAGGCTGTAATAGCACTGTAGAAATTGTCATAGATAGCAAGGCAAAAAAACCCAGAAGCTATGTGTATTTTGCATCAATCAAAGGGTCAATAATTGCTGGCAGCTGTTTACCCTTAGGCAGTAATCCCACACTACATATCAAGGACAACAGTAGGACAACTGACTGGATTGTAGCCACTATCGATATGCATCTATCAACATACTGTTGCATTCACACTATTATTGATTGCAGCTCTACTTATTCAAACTGTGTTAAAAGTATTATAAGTCAACACTTTTAACTTCAGAGCTCGAGTGAATAAACACAGTGCTGTAAAAAAAATTAGTTTTGATTTCTTTTGTAATTTTTATGTTTCAGATTATCAAATTTTAATATTAGACAAAGATAAGTGAAAAAAAATACTAAATGCAATTTTCCAATTATGATTTTTTTTAATCAAGAGAGAGAAGATATCCAAATCTTCCTCGCTTTGTGTGTGCCCTAAACCAGCGGTCCCCAACCTTTTTTGCGCCACAGACCGGTTTATGTCAGACAATTTTTTCACGGACCAGACTTTAAGTTGTCGCGAATAAATACAACAAAATAAAACCAGTACCGGTAACAAAAAAGGAAATGCATTCATAACACAGGGGAAAAGACCCAGGGAAAAAATGACGATGAAAACTGCTAAAATCTCTGAAAACCATAAATTTCACACCCGAGGTTCAACTCTCGCGGCCCGGTACCAAATGACTCACGGACCGGTACCTGTCCGTGGCCAGTGTGTTGGGGGCCGCTGCCCTAAACCTAATAACTAGTTGCACCACCCTTGACAGCAAGAACTGCAATTGAGTATTTGTAATAACTGGCACTGAGTGTTTCACATCCTCGTGGAGGAATTTTGGTCCACTCTTCTTTGCAGAATAGTTTTAATTCGCTCACACTGCTGGGTTTTCAAGCATGAATGGCCTGTTTAAGGCCATGCCATTATCGGATTTAAGCCCAGACTTTGATTAGGCATCTCTTATATAAGTTTATTATATATAAGTTAATTTACCATTAATTTTTAATGTCTGAAGTGAGTTTGCACTGTCCATGGTTCGTATACAGTGGGTCCATGTAAAATAGTGGTTTACACATTCGATTAACACATGACACATGAAAGGTTGCTGGTAGAGCAGTGGGAGACACAAATCCCTTTGGGGTTCCATGAGTAAGGGCGTCTGGCATAAAAATCTGCTAGGTCAGATATGCAGAGATACCCGCTGTGGCAACCAGCAGGGAGTATCCAAAAGTAGCAGGTTGTTACTGGTTTGGCTGAGGACATAGCGAGGGGTACAACTTGGATTGATTGGATTGTCAGATAAATTTGTTGCCTTTTTGGGCTGCATATGAGTATGAAAAGTGTTAGTTTCAGTCTTAAAATACACCAAATACCATGAAGATAACAAATGTCTCTTGAGTCAGCAATGGCAACGAAAAGGGACAGCGCAGGGAAAACTTGTAAACCTCTGTAGAACTTTACTAAAGCCAACAGTGCACCCTTTTATGGTGTGCAAGTTTGCAAACAATCTCATCATAAATGTCACAATATATTTCCAAAGCTGGATTGAACTACTAGAAAAAAAGCCCTCCATTGGTTAAAGCCACAGAATTGTTTGTCCTTCCTTAAAATGGGGTCTCAAGTCCATGTACCAAGCATGACTGCGATAGCTGTGACCCTACATCCTGTTAGGCAGCTTTCTCAGTGATTATGATTGGCAATAATTGCAGCAAGTGACATAAGATCCAGTATCGCTAAAAATTAATTAAGGAAGAACTATGCTTGATTAAAGCAAACTAATTTTACTCAGACATATGGTTTAAAAGTTATAGGCACCAAAATGGACCCCCTTTTTAAATCCTTTAGTTGTACTGCACTGCTGGCAAGGCAGACACCATTGTTTAACAGGTTCTTGCTTTCCATATGCCCCAGCTCTCTTCCTACACTCATAAAAAGCATCCTGTCAACTTGTGCATAATCCTGCTAACAAACAAAAAGACAAACCAGAAAGCAGTAGTGAAAACAGAGTTACCTCGGCAAAGGTAACAAGTAGTGAATCACTGCATCTATACGGAGATTGGAGAAAATATGAAAGCATGCAAACATATATGTAGATATATGCATGGGTGTGCCAGGGGATGCTTGTACTTGTACATGTGTGCATGCATTCATAAACTTGCAGGTCCCGTGTTGCTGACCACACACTTGGTTTGAGTGTGCATATTTCTGTAACCTACTAATTGCAAATCACCAGGCTAATCAAAGCCCTGGCATTAATGTATGGTGGATTATATTATTGACACGTATGGATTACAGTGCTGACTGTGAGTCAGATGTATAACATGTTGACCTGCTAGTGTTTGTGGAGATTCAGGTTACTGTCTCTCAACAACAGTTCAGAACCTGAGGTCTGATCTTCTAGTGGAGGATGTTGATGTTATTTGCTGACTGTTCTAAATTTGTTTAGAGTTGTTGTTATGCTAGCTTAATTTAGAAATGATCCTGCCTTTGTTGTACGTCTGTTTGAAAAACATTGCCCTTCATGCAGTGCAGAAATTAGTAAGATCAAATTTGATCTTGGAAAAAGAGATTGCAGAATATGTTTAGGAAATACCACTCCCCATTACTCTGGCATTAGGCAGCACTGTTGCATCATAGCCAAAACAAAGCCTTTAGACTTTATGTAGCTGACTTGTTGGCTGCAAATGCACAGGACTCCCCAGCGAGTCCCAAGGGCTCAGCAGATACCATTCTGCTTGCTCCAGCCATAAATCCTCTTTGCATGGCTGGTGATCAAGCCGTGATGTAAAGGAGCTTAGTAGCAATAGACAGACAGCCAGGAAGCTGCTTCCCTGTTGGCCGGGGGTCAGGTGATCACACAAAAACACTGACAGGAGACAGAGGGAGAGAGACGGCGAGGTAAAGGTGGGAAAACAAACTGACATTGAGAGGTGTGTGAATGGTGACAGCCAACAGGGTTTGTGGAGCAACTTTTCAAAAGTTGGATTGATAAGCTGAGTGCCTGCCTGGGCCTGCTGTAGCTCCACCTGAACACAAGTTTTCTATCTTGTGTGTTGGACAGTTTGTTGGAAGCAGGCAGTGCATGTATGGGGTTTGCTGACAGCAGGGAGGCTGTGTACCTTCTTCAAATGTCAGGGAGTTGAGGTGGAAAAGGTAAGAAAAATGTGTTTAGCTGTTCCTGAGCTGCAAGCAGTGATTATTTTAGGTAAATCTCCCAGGGATATATTTGATCAAGTGACTCAACAGTTTGTCTGTATTGGGTCGTTGGACTGATGTCCACGCACCTCTTTGACAGTCAGTGTCTCGATATTGAAACATTTCTTATAATGACTATATAATGACTGTCAAAAAGTTGAGCTTCACTTACTCTTGTACATTTCTTAAACTTCCTTTCCCCACAGGTCACTTTCCTTCCTCCCTCCCTCCCCTTCCTCCCCCTCCACCCATCACTGCACCCGTTGCCATGGAGAGCTCTTCGGTGGCGTCTGCGTCGTCCGAGGCTGGGAGCACACGCTCGCAGGAGATAGAAGAGCTGGAGCGCTTTATCGACAGCTATGTGCTGGAGTATCAAGTGCAAGGGCTTCTGGGAGACAAGGCAGATGGAGACTTGGACTTGGACAGTAGCTGCAAGGTACCCCAGGTCAGAGCTATATCACATCAGCAGTACTGTATTTGATTATTCCAGGCCTTGGTGGTGTCTGTGGATTTTTTTTTTATCTTCCCAAAAAAGACTGGAAGGTTTCTCTCTGTGTCAGCTGCCATTAGTGTTGTAATGAATACTGTGTAAATAGAGAGAAAGTGGAAGGGCATTCGTCAGAGATGTACCACGAAGATAGATTATTGGGTTAGGGTGGTATTTTGAGGTTAATGTCAGAGCGTTCATTGTTATGAAGGTAGCTGTCTTTTTACCTAGTTAGATTACCATGGTAACTAATGCCAAACACATAATATGGCCCGGAGCAGGTTATGTTCTGAGTTTCAGTTCGCAAATGACTGTGTGAGAGCCACATTCTCACAGGCTCTTACATTTTTGGTATGCTCTATGTGCCATATAGATTCTCTGATGAAGATATATGTTTATTCACAGTTTTCTGCAGGATCACTCTCATTTTATTTGTATGAACAGTGATTTGGCATTTAATGATTTAGGTTCTTTATAGATTGGTATCATCTAATACTGTCTCTGATTGGCCGGTTTTGCACTGAAGAAAAGTAAAATAACACATCTAATCTCAGACATTTGAAACAGAAATTTAGAAGTTCAACTTCAAATAGTGACTTGACTGATTCAGGACGGTGATTTAACTACAACATGACATAGAAGCTCAGTAGTCTTGCTCTTATATGCGAACACAACAGAATCTAACCAGTTGGCATCCAGCTGAATAGAGTTCCCCATTGCAAAGAGACACATCTCAGATGATCTCATTGAAAGAGAAAGATCGATTCCAACATGTTGGCAATCCGTCTGCATTTATGAATTAGATATATTCAATTAGTCAATTATTTGCAGGCCTTGCTTTCCACCAGGGTGACCTTGGCATGTGCCATTTGATCAACCAATGTACGGCCAATCACTGGACAACCACAGATTATTGGTTAATTAGTAGCTGTCCCTATTTTTATTGTAGTGTGACAGAACCATAATGCAAAGAAAGCATGGCAGTGTTGAACTTACATTGTAGTTCACCTTTAGCTGCTTCAGCTGCCTTGACCTAGTTTATTGGCTGCTACACAAACTATACACCAGGCTTTAAGATTTGGTCAGAAACATAATTTTGAGTCCGTTTTAAAAGCAGAACTTCAAAGTAAATTTGAATATGCTTTAATAAGACTTTAAATATGCCGTAATTGTTAACCTACCTACTTTGTTTTCTCTCTTCTTCAGTGGACAGATGACTGCAATGATAAGAAAGATGGTTGCTGGACATCATCACAAGGACGAGGCACATCTAAGCCAGTGAGTGTTTGTCTGTTCACAGCTCTATCTTTGCTAAATAGAGGTGGGGATCACCAGATACCCTGTGATATGAAATTATCACAATATATGACTCACAATACAATATTATTGCAATTTTTAACATTTTGCAAGATGCTGACCATTGCAATAACATATAGTGGGACTTGTCATGTTTTGTCCACCGCAAATGACATTACACTTTGTCAACATCTGTTTTATCCAGTAAGATGAGATAAGTTGCCTCACTTCAATTTTTTTGTTTGCTGGAAAATGAGCATATCGACACTGTCGCTAGCATGTGCTATAACTGTTGCTATAAGATGGAATCAGTTTGCTAACAGTCTGATATGAGTGATTGAATGGGGTCAAGTTGGCAATTACATGCAATCTGTTTCTGATAATATAACAATCAACAGTGATAAATTGTGAAAAATCACATATCTGTTTCTGTTTACCTAGACAGAAATTCACATTTACCTATTACAGTTGTATTCAGCAACCAGCTGGTAACCAGTTGAGTTGAGTATCCTTAAGTTGTGCTCATTGACAATGACTTATTCAGACTGATGGCAACACATCTGTCTGCATTTGAAAAAACCAGATTATTTGCAGACCTTTGACAGTCTCTCTAAGTCTGATTGCTCTCAGTCCAAGTCAGACTGCAACTGCTTGCAGACAGGTAGCCTCCTATCAGTCAATTGCCTTTATGCTTACCATTATGCTGAACATAATGTAATGCTGCTGTTGTGTTAATATAAAGATGTTAAATCACTAACAACCAAAATAATTTGGATGCCTAAAACAATAATACAAAAGCTTTAGTCATTGTAACACATCTCCTAGGCAAGGTCAGATGTATACCGTTGCACATAGTAGTTGCTGATCTGAAAATAGTCCTAATTTTACCCAGTGCACCCTTTCAGTCTGCTCGAGCTGCATATTGACTTACTCTCTGGTCACTGGATCACCACAATGATTAAATCACATGTTTTCCTTCTCTCTGTTCTGTACATGCTCGTCCGTTTTCTGGGCTCTGTCAGCTCTTCAGTGTATGATTGAAAGAGCTCTGTAACACCAACCTTTAGTCATTCATCTACACTTTCTACATTGAACGCATGTTCATAGTGACTGTCATGGGACACTATGACGCTAGAGCCAGTAATTAAAAAAATACTAAGTGAGTTACCAGCTAGTTAGTCTGTTAAATCTGAGTCTGTGTGTGTCGCTCTGGTGCGTTCTCACAATGCAGATTTTGGTGATTTTTTATTGTTGTATTGTTGCTCTCCAGAGTTGACTTTTTAGCAGCATGGATTAGAATGATCTAACAAAATAAAGCAGGGTAGCTGAGGTCAATCTTTTTCCATTTTCCATGTTCAGCAGGTTTTGACATTGACTATCTAGAGCAATGGTCTAATATATATACACACACAAAGCATGAGCAAAAAGGAGGAAAAATGGAAAACCAAAAACAAAGACCATAATTTCTTTCGTTAACTCTCTCAACTCCACAGGATGAATGGGAACACAGCAGTAATGGCAGCACAGGTTCCAGGCCCAGTTCAGGGTCCAGACCTGGATCTGGCTCACGATCTGGCAGCAGGGGGCACAACAACCAGTACAAAGGTTCTGCCAAGGTACAGAAACACATGGGTTTGTCTGCTTTTGAGTTGGATTAACTTTCTGAAAGTGCCTCACTAACATGACTTTAATCAAGATGAAAGTAAATGGAAAAAAACCCTGATACCATGGTCATTTGTGCGTTCAAGCTGTCAGAACAGATTTAGATGCTTCAATGCTCCAATTTATCCTCTTTAAGGAATTTCTCCTCCTGAGAAGCCAGGTTTGTTCTCATTTGTCAGCTGGTCCAGCAAAATGAAGGCACATTAGTTACATTAGTTACTTACAGAGCAGACACCACCTTCAGTGAGTTGTATGCCTACAAAACATTAGACCAGGAACACGGGGAGCTTTGAACAGAGATCACTGCATTACACAGTACATGATAATGTAATGCCCATGACCATTTGTTTCTCTGCCACAGCAGTTAATTTTTCAGTTCCATCATGGTAAAGACTGAAAAGGTCCTGAGCCAAATTATGAAACCTTGTAGAGAGATAGAGCGTTAAAAAAGCAGGGGCAAAGGAAGAGCCAGTAAAGCTTTGGTTTACCTCAGCAGAGGAAAAGTTTGGAGGCTTCCTCATGTCCTGTTGGTTAATGTTAACATAAAATCCAGATAGGCTTAGTTTGTGCCACAGGACAAAGTCGTTTAATGAAAACACGTTAACATACATGGATTCCTTTCTTTTCTTTTCTTTTTTTTACTGATTTCAAATCATTCACTCATTCAAATCACTGATTTCATGTTTCCACAGTTTCTGATTAAAACTTTCACATAGTTCTGGCATATTGATATACAGTCACAGCTATTGGTCATGTTAGCCACATTAGCTGCTCAAAATCCTGAGAGAAACAATTTCCCTTTTGTTAGGGATATAACAGTAGTCAACTGGGTCTCGGTTTCAACAGCAGAATGCTTCAGAATTTTAGGCTCTAAACACTGCTAACAATGAGGGAATGTAAAGCAGGAAGCTGCTCATTCTCTACACAAGGCCTTGCTTGTTGAGGATTTTGCTTCTGGTTATGGTTGGTTATGGAGTTAAGTCACAGAAACGTCTAGGCTACAAATGAAGTCTTTCTAGAATACCTTTGGAGGAACAAATGATTTGGAGGATGCTTGTGAAAGGTTACATACAAGTTGAGTAATGTGGACATGGGATTGGTGAGAAGTATTTTGTAGTCATGCTGAAAATATTTTTTCTTCTTTTTCCTTGTGTGTTATCTAGAATGGCAACAGAGAGGGATCCTTTGACATCCTGGGGACAGACATATGGGCTGCTAACACAATGGACTCACATGGGTAGGTACCTTTCTGTTTCACACACCTGTCTGCTGGATATAGCTTTTGGATGGTCATGTGACAGACAGTAGACAGCACAGTCTCGTAGCAATTGTTTGTTCCTCTCTTTGGTACATTTTGTAATTTTGTTTGGTTACTCTTTTCACTTCTTTAAGATTTCCTCTCCACTTGTGGTCAGCGGTTGCAGTTTAGCACTTGAGCTCCATTAGTGTCCTGTTTTTAACCTGTTTTATCTTTGTAGTCCAAGACAGTAGTTTCAACATTCAGCTTGACCTTTAGCAAATCTGTTCAGCTGTCGTTCCAAACTAAGTATCTCTTCACTCAACCTTAATCACGAGGGAGAAAAAAAAACACATTTAAACTACATCTGAGCTACCGGAGGCTTGACTGTTTAGCCCCAGTGCTCTAAATCCTGTTACTCTTTATAAATGACGTCTCTGCGTGAATCAGCTTCTGTGTGTCCAAGAGGTTTTTCAAACAAGAGCTAGACGTGAGACTTAAGAGCAGAGGGGGGAAAGTCAAAACGTTAGAGAAAGGAAATGAGCGAAACATAAATCAGTTAAAAGTGGAGGCAGGACTGGTTGCCATGGTAACATCTGCACAGCAGCGACTTCCGTCCACGCTGGCACAACGGAGCATGCAGTGAGTGATGCAGCCAGCATGGTGGGATGATGTAAGCAGTTTTTTCCTCACGCAGGTGGAGACGTGTTACAGGGTTAAATGTTTTACTAAAACACACTGATTCATTCAAGTATGCATTGCGGTGTGTGTGTGTGTGTGTGTGTGTGTGTGTGTGTGTGTGTGTGTGTGTGTGTGTGTGTGTGTGTGTGTGTGTGTGTGTGTGAAATATGGAAACATAGTGTATTATATATTGTATATCAGATGATATAATAAGAAAAACTAAGGGTCTCATTAGCAATGGTACCCTGCAAGTAGATTATAAATTATACAGTATAAAACATGCAGAAATGTGTAAATCATTTTATGCACATATAGAGCCAGAGGTGTAGATGCATAAACAATTCACATATTTATACATCTGCATTCACACACCAGGCATTAAAAAATTACATACATTACGGTAATCAATGACAACCTGAAATATTAAGAAAAGCAAGCCATTCATTATATAAAATCTCATGTCCCCCCCCAAGGGAACTGGTTCTTGAACACCAGTTGCTTTCGTAAGTAGAAGCTTGTGAAGTTTTATCTGGATTTAGTGAAAGTATAATTAAAGCCTTTTGAAAAGCCAAAAATAATTTGAAGGATAACTTTAAAGGATGGTGATGTAACAAGAAATCAAGAAATATCACAATGTCTCTCTATATCTTCAAAATAAAAAGGCAAATAAATCATTTCTAAGGGATTTGATTAAAAAGAAAATGTCCCACATCATTTTTAAAATGAGTTTTTGCAACTTTGTAGCAGTTTTCATGCAAGTGATCCAAATAAAGTCCAGATTATCCCACACAAGACCTGCTAAAGATCTGCATTTCCCCTCATATGCACTTATGCAGAGACTCTCCATGACTCTAACTGTTACTTTGTCTCCTCCTTGTAGAGGTGCAGGCTGGGACGTGCAGCCAGAGAAGCTGGATTTTAGCCATTTTCACATAAAACACTTCAGAGGAACGCCAAAGCATCTGCCACACATTGACAGAGAAGGGTAAACTATACATTTATTTATGTTCAGTTATTTTGTCTCACTGGTGGAACTCAGAACAGTTTTGATTGCTCTATACCACCTTAATTTATAGCATCATACAACCTCCTGATCTCACCCTTTCTCTCTTACAGGATAATCAAAAACAAGTTTGAAGAAGATGATGGTATAGACATGAACGACATAGAAAGGTTCCTACCCCATCTTCGCTCGGTAAGTCTCTGATTTTTTTCTTGTGTGAAACTAAGCCATCCCAGTTTAGTACTGCAGTGAACAGGTGTGAGAAAGCCATTCACAGGTCACAACTTTAAGAAGCTTTAGCAATACTGTGTGATTTGCTGTTAGAGAGTGACCCCTGGTGGTTAGGTGAAGGAATAACGTGCACCAAATGGAGTTCAGAGTCAAGAGTGCTGGAGTCCGGTTTTTGATTAAATTACTATTAAACATAATTACAGGAATGATATTTCTTGTACTAAAGGAGCAATTTGTATTGTTAATTTCTTTTTTTTTTTAAAGAAAAAAAAGGAACTTAAGGGTGCAAGATGAGTCTGTGTTATATGTATTTTCTGAGACTTGTTGATTGAAAATAAAAACTTTAGTGACATCCGCTGGTCAGATGCAGGAGTGAGCTGTAACTGTGAATAATGATGTTATATGTCCCTCTAGTGGGCAAATGTTTGCATAACATATATGCATAGATGCCCAAATGATTCACACAGAAGAGATGTGGGTTGTTGGTTTCTGAGGCAGTCGCTGTTTTAGTCAGCGTCTGATTATCTCTAACAGACTCGTGCAAAACTTAATGAGTAGGTTCACATTTTCTCCAAGTGTGTCTCAAAACAATACTTGTACCGTGATAGAAGTTATAATACTTTCTCATTTCAGTCCACAAAATACAAAAATGTATGCCTCAGTATTTCTGTGTACGTGCATTCTTTAGTTTAGTTGAAGTCCCCATGCAGTGTTTTCTCGCTTTGTAATAAGACAAAAAGGCAAATGTTGTACAAACTATACTGTCAGGTCAGTGTACAAACAACAACATAAGTTGACCCAGAGTCTTCAAGCAACTTAAAGAAGTCCAGACGCTTTTCTTTCCAAGCTCCTTAGACTACCATGACCTGGATGGCTGAGAACCTTCACAGACATATTGACCCAGAGTGTTTTCCAGATCACCAAGAACCCAATAATTTGAAAAACAAGAATGAAAAGAATGAAAATATAAATAAAATCTATGAGTGTTCAAAAGAGTCAAATAAAAGAGCAATAGAAAACATTTACAGTGAGCTGTAATAAAGCATATAATAGAGCAGAAAAAGAGCGTCCTCTAGAGATTTAAGAAATTGCCAGAACCTCCGTGACACAGAGGAAAAATGCGGAGATAAAAGATTTTTTTAAAAGAACTTCTTCAATATATTACAGATATATTGTGGACTTTAAAAACAAATAGTAAAATTTTAAAATCTATTTGAAATATCACAGATAGTGATGTGCTATTTTCATTGTACTGGTTAAACATTGATCAGCTGCATTTTAAATCATCTGCAACACAGAGAGAGAGAGAGAGAGACAGAGGTTTGAGGTAAAGTTGCAGCAGTCCAGCTGAAATCCTTTAGCTGCTAAACTGGCTTTAACTTAGTGATTGGTTCTCAGTTGGTAAAAGCTTCGTTTAACAGCATCCTTGATTTGATCGTTAAAACTCAAATAACTCTCCATATAAACACCATGATTTTCAACTGCAGTTTGGAAGATAAGTATCTTATCTTGATGTTTGTGGAGCGTGGGATGCCAAATCAAATAATAAGTAAAGTGAAGTCATTTTGTTGAAGTGTTTGTTTTTTTTGCCTGCATAACAGTGATAGTGAATTTTGTATCTATGAACAATAGAGCAAGAGAGGTAGCGTGTACAATTTAAGTAAAAAAGGACCTAAAACGGATCCTTGAGGGATGCCGCAGTTAATGGAAGTTAGGAATGGCGAGCAGTTTGGACTCTAAAGGTGCCATCAAATAAGGAAATCCAGTTTAAAAATATTTAGTTTAGATCATTGTCTAAATGCAGTAAAGTCCAGAAGAGCCAAAATCAGCAGATAAAATGATATCATTATAAACTCTTAACAGGGCAAAATCTGCATCTTTCTTAAATTAGACTGAAATCTCTTAAACATATTAAAAGTATTCAAGTATGAAAAACTATGAAAAAACTTGAGAAAGGCAACTTTTTCTAAAATCTTGACAGGGAAAGTAACCTTATATATATATTATAGGGTTATTCTGAGTTCCTGAACTATTGAGGAGGTTTAGCATCTTCTCTAAATGGGATCTAAGTGCCTCTTACTTACATTACTTGCAGTCTAAAGGGCAACAGCCGTGTTTCTGAACGTGACGTGTCTCGCATCAACAGAGTAAAAGTCATTTTGCAGCTGGAATGCTTCTCTGTATAAGGTATTGAGCATTGTGTTTTCCAACATGATTTGTGATTCATTGAGGTGACGAGAGTTCACATTAGGTCACTCCTGTCACCTTCCTCTCTTCCTCCCCTGCTTTCTGAGCCAAAATATCCTCCGTCTTTCATGGTGTTTAAGCTACAGTGTCTTCCTCTTTCCTTCCCCTCTTGGCCTTTGAGCTGAGCTGCGCCGCTCACGCAGCTTGGGCTAAGATGGATCTAGGTGAGCGATCGAGATGGCTTCCTCACTGTATCATTTCTGAGCCAAGATTGTCGTTTCCGTTCATTCAGTAAGGGCCAAAAGATAGATGGGGTCATCAGCGTTTCTGTGCTGCGATCGGGATCAGAGACGCAGAGCTGGGAATTGAGTGCCACATTTTCTGTTTTGTTTTCCCTGACATTTCTCAGCTGTTTCTGGCAATTCTCATCTTCTCCCAGTTACTCTTTCACGTTCCGATTGTGTGAATATCGAGCCCTGGCAAGCTGATCGCAAAACCATGCCCTGTGGGGTCATGCAGCTATAAAGCAAGGCCACTGATGCCCAGTTGTTTGTCATACTAACAAGGCCATTCACTGACACTCTCTTTGGTCTTGAATAGCCCTCAAGATAACAGGAAGGGTACTTAAGTCTTCCACAAGAGACCACAGTGTAAAATAAAACAAAATCAATGTAAACCTTGGTTGGAATGATAAGCACAGGGGTTTGTGTTTGAAAGTATGTACATCTTTTTGTGGCTCGTTAGATGACTAGAATTTTTGTAGTTAACTGATAACCAGCATTATTACATTAAATTACAAACTGCATACCCCACTGCGCATGGTTTTGTTACTAATAGAAAGGGAGTCGTGTTTCTTCAGTATTGTCATCGCTTTTATTGTCATGAATCTCTATTAAATAAATATATATTCTCAGCATCCTGGCTCTGTATTTATGTTTGCAGGGATCTCTCTTTTCTGCTGGTAACTTGCTGCACTTAAGCAGTGATCCTTGGTCGTAGACATGGACAGCTGAATATCCCATAGACTAGTAGTTATTCCGGTTGTACAGTACTTTTCCACTGGAAGCCTCCCTGATGAGCACGTGCATGTTGTTGCAGACAAGTCTTCCTGGTCACAATAAACTGGCAGACATGCAGACATCCTCATGGGGTATCTTGTTCACCTTCTGAGGAAAAAAGCATTTAAGCTTATGCCTTGACATGCTCACAAATAATGAAACTCTAAAAAAAACATCTGTATTAGATGCCCATTCTCCTTTACGTAATATTTAGTCATCAGGGGATTTTTATTTATTTCTTTTGTCTTTGAATAGTTTCATTTTGTGCCGTTATATACGTATTTTTTCCAACATAAACATTTTTGCACCCATGGCCTTGCAGCCTGCTGACAAACCAATTTCTGACAATTCAGATTTTCATTCTAAAAACTATAATTGGCAGCATATACATTTAAAAGCTTTTCTTCAATGCAACATTTTATTCTCATAATAAAATCTTTTAAACTTCACACTTCCTGTACACCAATCTTTACCTGATATAAGCTTCTTTTCTACTTCTACTTACTCAGTTTTGCTCGACTTGACTTGGTTTTCCGTTTGGCAGTAGTATGGGCTACCAGGTACTTTTTCAGTACCTACCTGGGTGGGGTTCAAAGCCAGTTGAGTCATGCCAAAAATGTGATGTCAACAGACAGAAGGGCACCGAGTGACATCACTGCATGAGCCATGAGAGCGACTCCTACACTAGAATCAAACCCACCATTTTTCCAACCCTGCCAATTTAGTTTGGCCAATTTTGTGTTTTCCTCAGTAAGAACTCGCTAACAGATCACAACCACACCAATCACAGTGTTGTTGATCACAGTGTTGTGTGTTTGCTAATGTGAAAACTGACTATTTTCCTGTGCTACTATGCGCATGCATGAAAAGAATGGGCTCGTAATCTGACATTGGTGATGCTGCCCAGCCAGTCACCAAGCGAGGATGCTGAAAAGTATCTGATTCCTGTCCCTGGTCGGTTGATCAGTGTGTCTTTATATATAATATCAAATATTGTGATTTGGAAGCGCACTTTTAGAGGGCATCTTCAACCAAATCTCCAAAACAAGAGAAAACTGGACTAGGGTAATGCAATATGGGGTTCTTCCTTTGCCCACACTCTACCAAAGCTGTTCTCACATACAAAAACTGGACAATGTCATGAGAATCAGGTCTAAACATAGTCTGAAGTTGTTTTTTTCTCACATGCAGCACACACAAGGTTCCACCTCCTTTGTGGAAGAAACAATTAAACCACTGATTCATAACTATTTTGGCTTAACGGGCACTTAAGAAAAAGCTGTGAGTAGACATTGCTCCTTATTATTTGTCAGTTGTTGATAGTTGTGCCATAGAAACATCACTCCTCTCAACTTCTTAGATGGTAAAATTAGCCTTGGGGGCCCACTTGGGGCTAAGATATATCAGTTTTAATTAAGAGGCAATAGAATTGCATCAAGATTAAAGGTGAAAATATAAATATGTATCACAACTTTGGTTCCCACATTCCGATCCGATTACTCCTATTATGACTCTATATATTTATCATGTGAACCCTTTGCTGCTAAACTGCCCTATTGTATAATAACTGCCTCCACGGATGGAAGGATAAATAGATAGAAAGAAATCATCAGGTATTTTTCCACTCATAATGTACTGGACTTTTCCAGAGTCATCACTTCCTGCTACTGCACGGCAGGACTACATCATCCAAAGTCCCCGTCTGCAATCCACGCT